AGAGGGACCTTGACAGGCTGGAGAGGTGGGTCCATGCGAACCGCATGAAGTTCAACAAGGCCAAGTGCAAGGTCCTGCACATGGTTTGGGGCAATCCCAAGCACTGCTCCAGGCTGGGCAGAGAATGGATTGAAAGCAGCCCTGAGGAGAAGGACTTGGGGGCGTTGATTGATGAAAAGTGCAGTGTGACCCAGCAATGTGTGCTTGCAGCCCATAAGGCCAACCGTATCCTGGGCTGCATCAAAAGAAGTGTGACCAGCAGGTTGACGGAGGTGATTCTGCCCCTCTACTCTGCTCTTGTGAGACCCCACCTGGAGTACTGCGTCCAGCTCTGGGGGCCCCAGCATAAGAAGGACAGGAACCTGTTGGAGTGAGTCCAGAGGAGGGCCACGAAGATGATCAGCGGGCTGGAGCACCTCTGCTGTGAAGAAAAGCTGAGAGAGAGTTGGGATTGTTCAGCCTGGAGAAGAGAAGGCTCTGGGAAGAACTTATTGCAGCCTTCCCGTACCTGAAGGGAGCCTACAAGAAAGCTGGAGAGGGACTGTTTACAAGGGCATGTAGTGATAGGACAAGGGGGAATGGCCTTAAGCTGAAAGAGGGTAGGTTTAGATTAGATGTTAGAAAGAAATTTTTCACTCTGCGAGTAGTGAGGCACTGGACCAGGTTGCCCAGAGAAGCTGTGAATGCCCCATCCCTGGAAGTGTTCAAGGCCAGGCTGGATGGGGCTTTGGGCAACCTGGTCTAGTGGAGGGTGTCCCTGCCCATGGCAGGGGGGTTGGAACTAGATGATCTTTGAGGTCCCTTCCAACCCAAACCCTTCTATGATTCTGTAATTCTATGTTCCTGTGATGCACAATCTGCTATACTCAGATACTCAGGTGCTTGCTTATCTTCCTTTAAATACAGATGTTTTGTTTACATGAATCTACTCTGCTAGTACTTTATGTTCATTTAATTCTAATCCTGTGTGCTGCTGAAAAGGTTTAAAAGTGAGACAGCTCTGCCATGGAAATGCTATAACCCCACAGCAATGGTTATTGCATGATCATTTTGAGAAAGTGGAAGGGCAACCAAGTGAGACATAGCTTTCTCCATGTGGGTTCAGAGACTTTCATACCTTCTATTTTAAGTTACCTTTTCTAATTTAAAAGCAAAAATCCACTACTCGACTTAATTAAAACATTACAGTTCTTGCTGAAGGGAAAGGCTAAGTGAATGACCCATGCAGGAGAGGCATTAGTCACAGATCAGTTGATCTTATGAGACTTATGAGACAGTGAAGACCAGATCTACAAAGCTTCTTAGGTGTTAGCCAAAAGTTACGAGTCCTGAATACTTATATACCTCTGTCACATAACTCTGGACAGTCTTAAATGCTGAGTACCCTCATTATCAAAATTAAGGTTTCTCAGCCCGTGATGACCTAAGCATTCCTGAAAGCACTTCGCTAGAGCAGGACTGGGTAGCTCAATTTCTGTATTGCAGCTTAATTTCAGAAGAATTTAAAATTTATTTCACTTATCCTGAAAATTTTAACCAGTAGGTCACAGACATCTTTTGTATCCTGTTCCCCAAAGTGCAGAATTGAAATCAATTATCTTTTAAAAGAAAGGCAGCTATTTTTCCACAATAAGCATATAAAAATTATTTCTGTTCTGATAAAAAAGCAGGTCTTTGAAATATGCTTTGCTGCTCCAAATGAAATTAATCTCAAGAAATTAAAATGTGATCTATGAAGTTCTAAACATTCAATAGTCAATTTAGGAAGTGCTTAATACTTGAAGGAGACAGTTTTTAGCTCTGAAGATCAAGAACCTGAATTTTATTGCTGGTTTACATATATAAAATGTATATAAATATACCATATAAATGTGTATATATATATACAGAAGTTACAGTTATATAAAGAATTTTTATTAAATAGCATTTTCTACACTACTTGGCCCTGAGTAACATTAAACTAGTGTAAGTCCAGTTGTTTAGAAGAACAGATTTGAGCTCATATGTTTTGTATGAAAACTTTGTCTGATTCTACTTTCAGTCAATGGTAAATCAGTACAGAGGCTGGAATAAGTTCTCCTTAAGCATATATCCAAATGAAAAGACAATTAAAAATGATAAAAAATCTTAATAAAACCTAAAGTTATTATTCTGAATTTTGAGCCCCTGCTCTGAGTGTTATTCAAAATTAATTAAGTTCTGAGAGTTCATAAAATCTATTCCACTATCGCAATACTTCTCAGCAATATTAGGTCTTTGGATTAATATGCTATTGCAAAGTTTGATGTTGGTTCCTATTAAGAAGTATAGTTATATTTTTTTCATAATGGGATTTAATGTCAGTTTAACCAGCCTTAATTAAACTTTGGCTTATAAATCATTTTATTGAGAAGTGCAATGAAATTTTCTGAGTTTTATGGCTTTTTAATTAAAATGAATTAAGCCAACTTGTGCTTAAGTGTCTGCAAACTAGTTCCCTTACATTTCCAAGCTATTGTACAATGTTCTAGTCGCACAATTTAAACTTTATCAGGAGTCAGTGCATTAAAACCTTAGTCCATAAAAATCTAGGGTTTAGGTACCTATTGACATTTAATCAAGCAATTTAAAAAAAATAAAAAACAAGTCATTTTTTGATCTAATTATCAGTTATTTAAAGATAACAGCATGGTTAATGCAGACCATGACCATATATATACCTTTGATTGTCTGTTGTGTCAGCATCCCATTTTGCATGTATATATAGAGTTAAGAAGTTACTCATTGAAAGTTAAGTTTTACATATAAGAGTATTCACATTCATAATAATAAGCATCACTTTCAGCTTTAGTTAATTAATTCTATTTGCACATATGTGTTTGATGTGTAATTACATTACGCATTTCGAATTTCTGTCATGATTTTGTCATGTCTGTGTCTGTATTATCTCTGCTACCTGCTACATATATAAAATAATATGCAGGTTTTAATAGGTTCTTTTAAGCAGTAACTTTCGAAAAATATGTTGAAGAATTAAAATAATAATTTCCTTGTATTGCATGGGGAGGAGGGAAGACAACATGTGACATACTAGGGCCAGAGTATAATTCTGAAGCTTTAAGTGTGGCACCATTTTTTTTTCTGTATTAGTTATATTGTCTCAGTAATACTGTGTTACTTCTGTTTCAGTTCCTGATGACCAGTCAGTCTTTCCCCTGGCTCTTATAGACAATTATAGACAGCGTTAATTTGACTTTTAATATGCTAAGAATTTAATTGAGTGGGTGTAGCAGTGAAATTATCCACTTCCCTCAATTTTGATGTTCTTATGCTTAAGTCCTTGACTGATGTTTTTTCATTCCTTCCCTGCTTCTCATTTTACTCTCACGAAGTCTATCCAAAATATCATTATGGAATTAGTGATTGTCTTTTATTTATCAGGTATTGTAATTTACTTCTACCTCCAAGACTTTTTACAGTTTTATGTCAAAAATTAGGTTTTTTCCAAGAGGAAAAAACTTCACTTTCTTCTTACAATTATCTATAAATCAAGACTATGAGAACACATTTGCAATTTCTTCACAGAGATCAAGCACCCTAAAAGAAATTTTTGGAGAAAGATATCCTGCAGAACTGTGCTTCTGCTGTGTCCTGTTAATGTAGGGTGGGTAGTTCACAGAGTGCTTAATTCAGTTCTCAAGATTCAGTCAACTAAATGAAATATTTTTGTTTAGTTTATATAGTTTATATGTTGTTATATAGTTTATATAGTTATTTAGTTTTTTGTAGTTATTCCTATATGTATTATAAATTTCAGTACTGTGAGATTTTAATTGCTGTATACATTTTGCATACTAGCTGGATGTTAACAATCTGTTCTAAACAAGTTCAAGAAATAATGCTAAGTTCATGGTGTTGATTTTCCTCTCGCCTTGTCATACGTATAGACAGTCATCATCTGGATATTGATAATATAGCTGTATATGACTGACAAGTTATTTAAGAAATAAATCAGATGATAGTGAAAAAATACAGGAAAATTTAGTATGTGCATGTAAAGATTTACAATATATTTAATGTGCTCAATTACAAATGAGTTTAAAAAATTTCAAACAATAAGCAGATCTGTCCTAGTCTTTACAATTTTTATTACAGTATTACCATATAATCTTCAAATTGTTTTCTGAATACATTCATATATGAATTACAACTACAGCTGTTTAATTCTAATCTTTGGTTTGTTTTTCTCATGAGCTGTAAAAGCTGCCATGTATGGCACATACTGACTAATCCTATGGGTTTATTGGCTTTAACAGCAGCTTTTATTTTATTCTAGTATTACTGAATCTGAAATACTTTCTTCTTCTCAGGAGAACATAATGGAAGTTATAAGAAATCAAGAATTTTTACTTCTACCAGCTGAAGAACTCCATAAACTTCTTGCTAGTGATGATGTGAATGTTCCTGATGAAGAGACCATTTTCCATGCCTTAATGATGTGGGTGAAGTATGATATGCAGAGGCGATGCAATGACCTAAGTATGCTACTTGCTTATATCAGATTACCACTGCTTCCACCTCAGGTATTTTTTAATTATTATTTTTAATAATAATAATAACAACAACAACAGCAGCAATAACTGTTATTGTGAAAAATCTCATCAGTTTATAATCTACAACTGCTGTATACTCTGGGTATTTAAGAGCAAAACTGTTCAGAATTAGAAAAAATGAATGGCAGCCCTTCATCCAGAGTGACCTCAATAAACTTGAGGATTGGGCCAACAGATGCCCGAGACGTGCAGAACTGTGAAACTGAAGAGGGGTATCCACAGCTATCATAATATGCTAAGAAGTACAGACAAAATACTAAATATTCTCAGAAAAAAAACCCTGGGTATTATGGCAGATACCAGGCTGAGTATGAGCCAACAATATGAATGAGGAAAACTGTATATTGGTCTACATCAGGAAAAACTCAACAAGTCATATGAAGTTATTATTTCCATAATACCTGGTGCTGCTAAGGCTACACCTGGAATCGTTTCCAATTTTGCACTCCACAATTTGAAAGGCATAGGAAGAAAGTGGAGAAAGTCCAGTGATGAGGTACGAAGGCAGTATGTCAGTTAGGAGAGGAGAGGCTGAGGAAGCGGGCTTGTTTAGTCTGATGAAAAGGAGGCTAAGCAATGACCTAATAGCAACTTAAGACTTCTTGGAGGGAAAATCATGGAACCAAATTCTTCTTGGAAGCACCACAAAATGTAAGAAGGGGCAAACGCCCCAAGTTGTAGCATGGATAGTTCATGTTGGACATTGGCTGGTGGGGGGAATCCCTTGGAAAGCAGTGAACCACTGCAGCAAGTTTTTCAGAAGCTAAGCAATCTTCTGCATTGAAGGTTTTCCTGAATTAACTAGACCGAGTGATCACCAAATCCAGTGTTGGCATTAGCCCTGATTTGAGTGAGTTGACTTCTGGAGGTCTGTTGGAGATCTCTTCCTATGAATTCTTCTATGATTCTGTGACTCAGGCTTCAGTTTCCTTTTTTTTCCCCAAAGAAGTAAATAGCAATTTTCTTCTGTTTAGTACTTCAAGATAATAATTCTCCTTTCAGCTAGTGTGCTGGGTCTGGCTGGGGTGGAGTTAACTTTCTTCATGGCAGCCTGTATGGTGGCTAAAACAGTGTTGGTAGCACACCAATTTTTTGGCTATTGCTGAGCAGTGCTTACACAGCATCAAGCCTTTCTTTCTTCCCTACCCTACTACCCCTCCAAAAGCCAGTAGGTCAGCAGTGGGCAAGAGGTTGGGAGGAGACACAGATGAGACAGCAGACCCCAACTGACCAAAGGGATATTCCATACCGTATGACATCATGCTCAGCAATAAAAAGCTCAGGGAAAGGGGGAGGAAAGGGTAGGACAATTGTCATTATGGTGTTTGTCTTCCCAAGCAACTTCCCAAGTGACGTCCCCTATTACATGTACTGAGGACGTGGCTGGACATCTGCGAGCCGATGGGAGGTAGTGAATTAATTCCTCTTTTGCTTATATGTGCACGCAGCATTTGTTTTCCCTATTAAACTGTCTTTATCTCAATCCCTGAGTCTTCTCACCGTCCTTTTCATTTTCTCCCCATCCCACAGGAGGGGAGTGAGTGAAAGGCATGGTGCGTGTTTGGCTGCTGGCCAGGGTCAATGCATCACAGCCCTTTTTGGTGCTCCACGTTCGGCACCAAAAAGGACTCTTAGGAGGAAGGTCACAACACTGATAATTGGGCAGTGATGAGTAAGGTCAGAATCAGCTGCCATTTCAGTCTTGTTTTTTGATGGTGACTTTTAGATAATTCCATAATTGTACTAGCAATAATATCAGATCATATCAATGTCTACAGGAGTTATTTCTACATAGGAAGCCAGAGACAACGTTCTCACATATCTAAATCTCTTCATGTTCATTTGAGCATACTTTTCCTTAGAGGTCAAATCCTGAGCTGAGGGTCTAATGAATTAAAAAAAGGAGTCACTGATAGAGCAAAAGATATTGTTGAGCTATTTCTTCTCTGTCTGAGTCTACAAAATTTATTTCCTTCAGACCATAAAAGAAAAAAAGACAAAAATAATATGACAATGGCAAATACTTTCAGTTGTGAATCCTAGTTGCTATTCTGGATATTAACTTTCCAGAATGACTTGCTTGTCCAAAATCAAGAAAGAAATCCAAGTTCAAATCTGCTTAAAAATCAAATAAACATTAATACTGGAATCCTCAAATAACACCCTGAGGTTCCTTCATCTTTGGTATATGACACTGCAAAATAAAAACAGGGAGAGGCCTTGATCTTGGTCACCTTTATTACTCAGTTGTTAGCTCAATCCTTGACTCTGGTTCAAAGCACTCCAGTTATCTCTCTTCCAGACAAGTATGCTGTAGGGCATTGTAGCCCCAGTTGGTGCTACTCAGTCGTTTCTTGCCATGTTTCCTTTACCAATATAAGCGTAGCATATGATTCTCTGACATGGTTAAGTAGTTATTCTGTTCAGATGGTATTTTGAAGAATATGGGAAGAAAGATTAAGGTAAGCTAAGAGTGGCAGCTTACTACATAACCAGATACTGGTATTGTAATGTCTAAAATGTACAAAAAATGTACCCACTCTGAAAGGGATCAAGAAAAGAATGTTAAAAAGGAGATGATTAAAACAAATACCATCATAAATCATGATGCTAAGATTTACAGGCACTTTGTGTCATACTGAGATCTGAGAGGGTTGGGTGTTTTTTTTGTTTTACTTTCCAATACAAAATGTGCTACAAATGAAGCAGTCAAATAGGAAAACATTGAAGGTTTCTTTGCCAGAAAATTGCACCATTTATTTCTCAACATCTATGCCAATTGAGAAGCTAGCACTCTGTTGTAGTTTTGCCCCAGCCAGCAGCTAAGCACCAGGCAGCCGCACCAAAGCAGGTTGGGGGAGAGAATCAGAAGAGTAGAAGTGAGAAAACTCTTGGGTTGAGAGAAAGACAGTTTAATAGGTAAAGCAAAAACTGTGTGCACAAGCAAAGCAAGACAAGGAATTCATTCACCACTTCCCATGGGCAGGCAGGTGTTCAGCCATCTCCAGGAAAGCAGGGCTCCATCGTGTGTAACGGGTACTTGGGAAGGCAAATGCCATCACTCCAAATGTTGCCCCTTCCTGCTTCCCCCAGCTTTATATGCTGAGCATGACGTCATATGGTATGGAATATCCCTTTGGTCAGCTGGGGTCAGCTGTCCTGGCTGTGTCCCCTCCCAACTCCTTGTACACCCCCAGCCCACTCGCTGGTGGGGTGGTGTGAGAAGCAGAAAAGGCCTTGGCTCTGTGTGAGCACTGCTCAGCAGTAATGAAAACAGCCCTGTATTATCAACACTGTTTTCAGCACAAATCCAAAGCATAGCCCCATCCTAGCTAATATGAAGAAAATTAACTCTATCCCAGCCAAAACCAGCACACACACAATACTGTGCATTACTGCAGTCTAAAATGATTCTTTAAATCTGCCAGGCACTTACAGGAGGTGACTTAAACTGTTCACACACCAACCTCACCTTTAGCTCTTATTGTGTAAAATGAGATGATGCAGGCTTTGTTGGTTACTGGTACCTCCCCTAGTTCTTAGTAATAATTATCTTTATATTTAATGTCTATAAGACCTACCACTACAGAGTTAAATGAGGCTATTGATATAAGTCAGATGAAAGGAATACAACTATTTTGTTCTGTGAATTGCTGAAAATTGTGAAAAATAGACCCAAGATCAAAAATATTACTTTCCTTTTCAATAGCCTTAGGTAATGTATGTGTGTATGCAAGGTATGTAATGGTCTCATTCTCATCTAGACTCCCTTTCTCATGAAACATTGGACCAGAAGATCTTTCAAAGTCGCTTCCATGATTCTGTGATTCAATGGAAAATAACGTATCAGTTGAAATAATTTAGAGGCAAGATTTCTATTTTGTATTCAGAAGCTTCTAATCCCACTACGAATTATGACTCGTAAAATTTAGTTGTATTCCTCCAGTCAGTAGGGATTTTACTTCATCTATGCATCACATGCTTTTCTTACCTCTGCACTGCTAACTGCATGTAAACCAGTGATCTGCACATTACCAAGCTGAGTGCTGTAGCTCTTTATCCATAGTGTTAAAGGAAATTCCCTGTATAGTTGAGTAACTATGTCCACACTCCACAGTACCTGCTCCTATTGTCTCTGTGGCTTTAACACATAAGGATACCCTGAGAGACTGCCAAAGCACGAATGCCCCTTATTTATGCAGCTGAATTGTTTCCACTTTGTTGTAAATCATCATCATGAGAATATCCTGGACACTTTATCTAAAGTATGACTATATCCCATGTTTAGCAGCTGAATTAAATCCTAAATTTCCACTGCCTACCATAGATAAGGATCACAAATGTAAACATGTATCATTGGTATCTCAAATCATTGACACCCATCTATAAACCCCTCAAACGGTGTTAACCTAAAACTTATTCCCATTGTGAATCTTTTAGGAAGTTTCTCATAAAACTTTTCTTCAGATTCAAGTCCAGCTTCTAGAGAAAATATGTTTCTTTCTGAATAGCTAGGAGCCAGGTGACCAGTGACTGGAGTATATGGAAAAAAACCCCTAAAACTAACCAAAAACAGTTTTAAAACTGCTTGTAAGGAGTTTCAAAAAGAATTATTTTAGAGTGATATACTTCTGGCAATTCTCTGTGTTTTTTGTTCAATTTAATCTGAAAATTAACCCTTATGCACTGGTGCTTATCTATAATTAAGTACTGCATCATATAAAGGTTTTCTATAATGCTAAAAAAGTATTTTAAAATTATTTCCAAATTAAAATTAAGATATAACAAAGTTTCAACAGAGAATTATTGAGAGCTGGAGGTTAAAATTTATTACCAAAAGGTGAAATTTTTTCTACTATGGTTTATACTTAAGTATAAGTCAAATAAAATGCTCTTGTCATTTTCATTGCATTGAAAATTAACTGAAATCTCTCTGGAGGGAGGCCAGGTCAAAATTAAAAGCTAATCAT